GCACATACCGAGGAGAGTTAGTCTAATACCAACCTCAAATGAGTTCCTCCTCTGTAATGTTAAATACTGATTGTGGTTAATAACCAGCATACCTCTACAGAAAGTGTTTTCTTTACATCCTCCTCGCTCTCTTGCTCTCTGTTCCCTGGTTTGCCCATGTCAGTGATCTGGCTGCAGGTGCTCTTACAGGCCTGTTGGAGGTTAGAGATCATGCTATTAGCAAAATGCCACCCTGTTCACACTACATTGCTTAGGTTTGTGAACCACGAATCAACCGCAATAAAAACAGGAACTGCACAATCTGATGGAATCTGAAACTGATTACAGGCTAAAATTTGTTATGGTGCTATATTTTTTGATTGTATCATACTGCCACATATTCCTGTAGCTGGTACCTTGCTGAGCTTGTCAACTGTGGCAGTGACACTGAGACCCTCCAAGGCCTCCGTTATCTCCCTCTCAAACTCTGAGCCGTCTTCATCTGGAATTTGAAATGTGCAGTCAATCATTTCAGGTGTTTGTTGAATTCTGGTCCACATGATGCTGCATTCCTCTTGCAGAAGTGGTATTTTTTTAATCGTTTTCACAAGGACATTACCTTTCTTCTCGTCCACTTCCTCATCATCGAACTCCACCAGGGAGAAAGAGTCCTTGATGAGCTCCAGCTCTTCTCTGAGCTGAGCCAGCTCATCTCCTGATAGAGTGGTCAACACCGACTTTACCTACACAAACACAAAGAACAGTCACATTTTAGGCTTTTACCCGATTGAATTATGAGGTGTAAAAATGTACAGTAGGTGTTATATCTTGAAATGAAAGTCCCATCCTACCTTAGACTCGCTCTCTCGAGACAGAATCTCCAGTGCCTCGAGGTGCGACAGACCCTGAAATTCATCAAACAGCATCCCGTAGTGAGCGACCACCTTTTTCTCTGAATCTGACTCTCTCTCTGCTGTCTGCAGCTCCTCTCGCTCCTTCGCCTCCCTCAACACCTACGAGGCAGAAAGAGAGAGAGAGGGGACAGTTAAATCTCAGACAATCAGGAGTTAAACCAGTGTAAGTCAGCTTGAGTTTGTTTCTGTTCTGTCCCTGGTCTGCCTACCTGAGACAGAGTTGAGTTCCTGATCATCAGTCCTTTGGTCTTCTTAAAACCGGGATCACCTTCCGCTATCACATCCATCGTCTTCTTCCCGATGAACTCAAGAGCATCCAGACCGCCTGTTATTACCGTCTTCCCCTGTGAGGAAGCAAATGAGTAAAGTTTAGTTTCAGTGTAATATATCCACAACTGGGAAACCTGCGCTTAGCAAATAACTTATACTCAATATAACATATCTATTGAGTGAATTAATGAGTTATTAGGAAGCCAAAGACTGTGGTATACTAACATTTAAAAGCTTTGGTTGCTGGCTTAGTTGTTGCCTCAAATTTGGTAAATAATATAGATTAACTAACACTCTATAAACTATACTTGGGCAGTTATCTTCTGGTGAGGAAGCTAGAACAAGGATGATGTTTTAGCAAAATAGCCGCACCTGGGGAAATAAAGATGCATTTGAAAAATTTAAAACAACCTGGAATAATGTCATGGTCTAGCGTGATATGTAGTGAAAACTGTGTATTTCGAAAATGTCAATTTTGGAAATATGATCAGATTTTTTGCCAGTGTTTGAAAGGTTTGAAAAACACGGCCCAAACCAGTCAGAAAACATCCTCAACCCATAAAGGATCATTTACATTTCTCACCAAAACTGGACAGTTTTCAGAGTCATGATCATATTTCCTGTCTTGGAACGTTTTTTCTTTTTAATTACTCAAAAGTGAATTGCTTGAAATAATAGAAAATAGTGGACTGGAAAAAAGAAGAGCTGCTTGTTTCCAGTAACAATGATCCATACAAGATTATTCTTTCTGCTCTATCATGAAAACCTGGATGTTTAAGATGCACTCAAGAACAATGTAACTTTCCTCCTTTCAAGGAACAGAAAGACAACACAGAGAACATTTCAGCTTACTGTGCTCTGGACCACGTTGGTGAACGACGTCAGCATCCCCATCGCACTTCCCACCGCCGCCGGTCCATCTCCTGCCGCTTTGTCGGTCTCACTGCTGGCTTCACCTGCAGGAAGAGAGAGAAACACCATATATATTGTTATAACAAGGTTCACAAAATGTTTGATAAATTGGCTCATATTCATTTATCTGTGTACAAGAAGAGTAGATCCACGGTGACCAGTTAACCCAGTAATTAGACTTGACACAACATGCAGTACTGCCTCACCCTGCCCTTTCTGCTCTTCCTCAACTTGCGCCGAGAGTTCAGTCGGACTGGGGATGCCGAGTGATGTCTCCGCCTTCTCTATCACCTGAGTGAGCCCTTGGCCTGAACGGACAGGAGAGACAAACGGTGACTAGACGATTACTGGCTGAAGCTTTTTAGGAACAGCTCTCCAAGTAGATAACTAAAAAAGAACAGCATACACATTGTATATAATACAGAAAGATTGCATTACTCAGGTGGTCTGTACTCACCCACAGTGGCCACAGTAGCTGTCGCTGTGGATAAGATGGATTTGCCCCAGCTGCCCCAGTATCCCCAACCGCCCTGAGCCACAGTGGACTCAGCGGGTGTCTGAGAGAGAGGACAAGATGACGGAAGGAGGAGGAGGGAAAGAAAAGATGAATCACTTTTGTACACAAAAAGAAGTGACCTTTGGTGTGGTTTGGGGGAATTCAATTGATATGGGACGAGGCTTATCACTAGTGTTAAAACACAAACAAAAATTGCAGCTTGTTATGCTAGGACAAGCCACACAGCCAGGTAATAACCAAAGCCTCAGAGAAAATGTAATCCAATGTTTGTCTAGTTAAACTAACAATTGGCAAGGCATCCTCTCAGAAGTTAAGTTCTCTTTTTACCATTAATTGTAGTTTTGTCTAGTATAAAAAAAATATGATCTCATCAGTGCCTTTGCCGGCTGCTCCTCTACTTTCGGTATCTCCTCAACCGCGGCGACAGGTTTGATGTCCGGTCTCCTCCTGGCTTTCCTCGTTGGGGCCACATCCGTCGAGTTCTCAGGCGTGGTCGCCGAGGGGCTGTCAGGCGTTTCGGCAGGCGAGACGTCCTGACTCTCTTGTGCCACCTCTGGACCCTCCACTGCTGCACCTTCGCTGTCTGACATCTTAATGTCTCAGTACATGCCTTCAAAGGGAGATTACAACAAAGGATACGACCATTAGCCAGATAAGAATCCAACTGAACTCCTGCATACATACAGTGTGTGTCTCTGGCAGTGAGGACGAACTGGGAACGTCAATGAAAGTTGTGCGCAGGTTGTAGAGAACAGAAGACAGGATTAGTTGGAGATTCATTTTTAGATTTCACAGTGACAAGGGTTTTGTAACACATGACTATGATGAGATGTTTAAGGATGTCATTCATCCAAACATTATGCTTAATGCATTAATTCCAGGAGTTACAGGATGTTGTAATTCACTGTTTTGGTGAAATCGCCTTTTTCTTCAACCAGTGGTATCGTACATTTCCCAGAGTGCATTGCAATAACCCAGGGAGAAGCAGTCAGCTGTTGGTTATCAGTTCAGCTGGAGTTAGTTTAAAGTCCAGTCTGACTGCAACAAGTCTCCAATTCACACAAAGAACACAGTATACTGTTACTGTATATCCACATACTGTATCTCTGTAGCCTACAAATACCTGAAACAAATACCTTACAATCACATCAGGAACATTCATTTATATTATGAATTACATTCAGATCTGTAAGTCACATGTACCATTAGCTATTACAATGGATGTAGTAGTAGTTGCATTGTTATTCATGCTTTACAAGGTAGCTATTGTTTAGGTAAGCTAGTGACTCGTTTATGTATTTGACAATATGGCCAGGAGGGGTGTTAGTGTTTCTAAATATGAGCTGTTTTAATAATTAATAATTAATATTCGGAAAAACAACTTACACCGTTATACTTTTGCTACAAACTCACCTTTCCTCCTGTCAAAGTCTTGATGCTAGCAGTTACCTTTCCGGTCTGCCGACACTTTCCTTCCCAAAGTCAACAAGCAAGATTTATCTTCTTTATTTCTGTTTGCACTTCTCTTTCCACACGTTAAACGCCTGTTAGTTTTCCAGTAAACAGTCTAATCATTTCACGTTTTCTGCTTCTTTTTGTCCACCAGGATTAGCCACGTCACATTTTGTTTTTACTGAACAGACGCACGGAGAAATATAAGTTCCGGTTAGCATTTTCAAAATAAAATATATATGTTTAGCAAAGTTTAGTATACTTTCAATGGTTTCAACAAAATTACTGTAAAATAAAGAATACGTTTAAGTGGGAGTCACAACAAATGTTAAATGTCCTGTGTGGATTTATTTTGAAACGTTCAAACACGCTACAATTTTATTTTGAAGGAACCATTGCCATAAATCTTCTCTCTCTCTCTCTCTCTCTCTCTCTCTCTCTCTCTCTCTCTCTCTCTCTCTCTCTCTCTCTCTCTCAATTCAATTCAAATGGCTTTATTGGCATGACGTAACACTGTACATATTGCCAAAGCAATCGTTTGGAATTAAAAATAATAATAATAACAATAAAGGAAAACAATATTTACAATAAATTAATTATAATCTATACTGTTGGTAATACTGTAACTATGATTGACTCAATCACAGTTTGTGTCATTAAAACAGTAGTAAAGTAACAGACTACAGTTAAAACAAGTAGTCTGTTGTCAATATAACAGTAATAACAAATTATTAAATACAATATATATATCATATTATATTATTAATATTTGGGAAATGTTTGCGAATTGCTTTTACTCTTAAAGTTTTGAATTTAGGGCATGAGGTTAGAAAGTGCAGCTCTCTCTCTCTCTCTCTCTCTCTCTCTCTCTCTCTCTCTCTCTCTCTCTCCTATCAGCTTTACACGACATAAAAGGTAAAGTGACCTACCTGCACGGAGAATTAGAACAAGCCACGCCCACTCAGTCATACCTGAAGCAGGAAGTGAAGGGACCCGGACGGCTCGTGTTTGCTTCGCTTAACAACTACTTGAGGATAAAAGTAGCAGACACAAATAGGAGGAAAGGGAACATCTTTAAACACACAGCAAGTTACGGACACTGTTTGACGTTTATGTTGGTTGGAGGATCTGATGCTCTGGTCGCTGTCCGAGCAGCAGGTGGGAATCCCTGTCTCTGAATCTGTTTGGGGTTTTGCAGTAGGCCTGTGTAGGTATCCAGTGTCTAACAACCGTATTATATAATGACCTACTAATGAATCAACTATTCCTTCATTATTGTTATTATTACTTCATTTTCAGTTGACTTTTAAGGGACAATGACACTGACCAGTGTGAGGGATTGAAAAGTCAAAGAAACCGACTTTTCAAATAAATGTGAGAAAGAAATTAAGACAATGAAAACACATGTGCCAGGTCTATTAGTATATTATAGTAGATAAGATGTGTGATTGGGGGAAGAAAAGCAAAAAATCAACCAAAAATAAAAAAAAATGTTGAACTTCCAGATTAAAAATATGTTTTAATTTCCACCTCTAAAACTCCAGAAATGTCTACATGTAATTAAAAAGTAACCAATTTAAGTAGTATGTCCTTATGATACAAAATACTGAAGACTTTATCAAATATGGACAGGACTAAGAGATTTTGAAGACACTAAAAAGTGTGAGTCTACAGTCCTGTGTGGCTGCATGAGCCATAACCGTTGACTGTTCCTGTTTTGCAGGTTTGTCTCGTCTAAATGTGAGCTGAAACTGGAACTCCTTTCGACATGTTATCGCCCCAGAAACATCAACTGTCACACCTGCTTCTCACAGTCCTGCTGCTCTGTGGCTGGATAGCAGACGCAGCTCAAAACGGGTCAGAGGTGGAGGCTGTGTCCTCCGTGTGGCTGGCCAGTGCGTCCTCCAGCAAGGACATCGTAGCGAAGGAGGGGTCCAACATGGTCATTGAGTGTAATGTGACCGGAGACCACAATGACATCAAGTGGTACAACTCTAAAGGACCTCTGCTGGGTGAGGATACTGTTCACTTTATTGTAATTGCATTGTGTAGCAGGTCAAAAATCCAGTCATTTACATTCTGTTGAAACAGGGGTTTTATATAATGAAGCATAGTTTTGACCTCAATGCATAAAGTCTTGGACCATTGTGTACCCATACATATTAACTCGCTTTGCATCAAGGACCACAATGGCAAAGACAAAGTCTGGACTTATTGTGTTATCCTTGACCTTTTGTAGGTGTGTATGATTTAATATAAACATGCCTTATAATATCAAATAAATTAAACCAAAACTTTGCATATAGGACATTTTACATTCAAAATTGCCTAAAATTGTAAATACTTGTAAATAATTCAACAAGCAAGTAGACAAGACAGAAGAAAGGACACTGCTCCCATCACTTAAAAACCGTAGAGTGAACAATCCACACAGTAACACAGAAAACAAGATTGTCTACAAACCAAACAGGTAGCATTGTCAGTCAAAAGTACCAATTGGGAAAAAGTTAGGCTTTCCACATTATTGCCAAAATGCTATTTAAATAATAAGAGGTGATTTCAATAATGCATTCATGTTCTAATTTTATATTTAACAACTCAGAAACTGCATAAAATGTAGACACTGCAATTTAATTTGAATACAATTTTGATATTCTGTCCAGTTTTAAAGTATCAAAAATGCTGGTATTGCAAACAATATTTCTCCATTCTCATCATTAACCATTATCAGATGAATGCTGCATCAGTCTAAGATTTGCTTTCAAGCATAAACTAATATTGTTGTTGTCTGACATAATTGTGTGTGCTTATTTGTGGAATAATTCAAATTGAATTAAGTTAAATTGAAATGAAATAAGTACTAACTGGGTTTTTGGGTCGATGGAAATGATTTTGATGCTGAATCACAAACTGTTTGGTGGAGGAGATGATGACAAATGACAAATCTGCTCTTAAGAGCGTCTCTCCCTATTTTCCCAATCCTCAACTCGCATCTCTTTTTGTCGCTGTCTTGTTGTCTTATGTTTTTTGGCCCCAGGTGGGAAATGGCAGATTCAGGAGGATGGCGGTCTGAACATCACTGTGGTCTCCTTTAAGGACCGTGGTCGCTACACCTGCGTCGCCTCCAGCGGCTCCAATAATACCAAAAACTACACTGTCACTCTGCGTGTAGCCCACACCGACAGCGGCCTGGGCCTGTACTATGTCATTGTCTGCCTGGTGACCTTCACCATCACCATGATCCTCAACGTGGCCCGGCTCTGCATGGTCAGCAGCCACCTCAAGAAGACGGAGAAAGCCATCAACGAGTTCTTTGGCACAGAGGGCGCAGAGAAACTGCAGAGGGCATTTGAGGTCGCCAAGCGGATTCCCATTATCACGTCAGCCAAGACGGTGGAGCTTGCCAAGGTCACGCAGTACAAGACCATGGAGTTCGCACGTCACATGGAAGAGCTGGCACGGAGTGTTCCTCTGCCGCCACTTATCCTAAACTGCCGCACATTCGGCGAGGACGTTGCGGAAACAAACCGGGGACCTCAATATGCAGAGCAGGGAGAGATGTCGATGACTGGCAATAGACAAGCTATAGGCCCGCCCTCCTCCATTAGAAATGGAGAGGAGGAGCAGGTGTGTCAGGCGCTGCTGTCAACTGAAAGACGAGTGAACGATGGACATGGCGTTGACACCAAAGTGTCAGTCCACACTCTATCTGAGACGGTCGCCAGTGAGGATAAGGAGGCTGAGATGTGCCTCCATGTGCAAGCACCAGGCTCCCGGAAAAGTGTGTCTTTTGAGAGCAACATATAGCATGTCTCACTCTGAATCCCATCAGACAAAACATAATTTAAGTATAAGGTGTCTAACCATCAATATTTAGAAGCAAAAAATTGTGGGGTTGGTTATCGTTTAGATTTTAGCGATTCTGTTTCTGCTTATGGATTCTTGTTCTTATTGAATCCTTGCTCCTAATCTTGTCCCACGATTTGAGGAAGAAAATAAATCAAATCATGTTGAAAGAAAGCTTTCTTTTCAAGGTGTTAAACAGTCCCAATTCACAGTGTACTTTGTGATTCTTTTTGTTCAAATGGCAAAATAAAGGAAAATATAAATATTCTATCTTGCCATGTACAAGTTGGATTCTGGCTGTTTTCCCACTTGTTTCTCCTTGAAATGAAAATCTTGGACATTATAACTACATCTGTGGCCATCAAAATACTGCATTCTTATACCTGCTGATGTTGTTCCTCCTTCCTGCATGAACTTATTTCTGTGCAGTGATTATATTTTACCAGTCTTTTTGTCAAGTACTGGTAAGCAATTGCTCCCATCTGCCATATTATTAACACTGCACTGACATATGCTTACCCAGTTATGTTGAAGGAAGTGCAGTAAGCTGTTTTTGACTCATTACTACTCCTGGTTATATTATTACTTATAGAAGTATAACCAAATCAAACCAGCTTTTCAATTAATGCATGTTTCCGTTGTTTGATAGGGTACAGTAAAGAATTAGAGAGACTCAATGAAATGTCCTTTTGATTGTGAGCTAACATCCAGTGTTTGTTTTTCAATGCAACTTTCAATCATTTCTCTGTGATGGACTAATAATGCCAGCAGCAGCTCATTTTCCTCCTTCAGAAGACACCATTTGTTATTCACTTTGAGTCAGTCAGCTGCCACAGAACAAACTGTAATGAAATATCCTTATTTTACTGTGTTGATTGTTTTCATGTCGCTGTTTCCTGTCAATCACCTGACACTCGCCGACTGAAGTGGGAATACTACTGAAATAATGCCTACAAAATGTGTCACTTCACAAACTTGATTGCCATCTCCGTGTCTCTCTATTTGGGTCGTGTTAGTCAGGGTAGCGGTTGATTACAGGTTAGGTTTTGCTTTAGAGTGACAATACAATAACAGAAGTAAACATAGTATATATAACGAAAAAACATGTGGGATGGGGATTTTCAGAAGAAGCTGTACAGTAAACACCAAGCTCCCAGCTACTTTTAGCTTTCAGAGGCAGCGAGGAACTGAAATATAAATGTGATTATTTTGACATTATAGCTGCAAAACCTGTCTGCTGTGATGGAAAATGTCTGGAATTGTGCTCATAAATATGCAGGTATAATCTATCATATTTCGGTGTGTGAATGTCGGGAAAAGTCGGGGACTTTAATTTTTTTTATTATGAAGGTGATGCAATATTTTCTCTCTGTATTTATAGTGACATTTGTGAGTTATATTTGTAAAGACACACTTAATTATGAGATTTATGAAGTATGGAAGGTAAATATGGACTTATTTGGAGCAAGTTTGCAAGTTTATGCGATTTCTGTAGAGGTTTAATATGAACACAGAATACAGTCCATATCCGGGGTAAGGTATATAATAATATTATTATCCCTACATGGGGTCACAAGGCTTAATATTTAGTTTGTTATATTCCAATAAAATTAAATGTTTGAAATATACAATATTTTATATAGAAAGCTTTTGAAGTAAATGGAAAAGACAGTCAGTCTCTGAATCACATAAAAAAAACTTGAAAACACTTGTATCTGTCATTAGAACCTAAGCCATACATATTCTTCACTATGTCTCAGGGGGTTATGTAAGAAAAGTGTAAACTGTGAATCAGCTGTGGAACTATTTTTTACTTACCTGAATCTTGCTATTGTATAAACACTGTTGCTGTGTGAAATGGTTTTATATTTAAAGGTGTAAAAGTGATCCTGAAGAGCCAATTCTCTGGGACTGAAAGAATGTTCGTTGGACCACAATTGAAAAAAAATCCTATAATTGAAAATTAATACAATCAAAAACTTGTTTGTGTGGTGCTTATTTCTGCCCCTTCAGGTAACACTGCAAATGAGCCACTGAGTGGAGCTGTTGGGTAAAACATCACTTCTGTATATCAGCTCCAACACTGGTTTAATCACCACCTAAAACACTACTGAAGGGTCGTTTTGCACATTAACAGCTGTTGATGAACACTTGATATCATTGTTAAAGAAACATAGAGAGATTTACTGCTGAGAGCTTCGGTGTCACCACAGCCTCATCTGTTTTGGTTCTTTTACATCTTTATCAGTACCCACAAAGTAATTTCATCATCTGATAAAACAAAACAAAAAACCTTCTATATTCATCAGAGAAAATCAAACAGCTGTATACACACTTTCAAAGTAATTTACATACAGTAACACATAGAATTAATCTGAGAAGGAATTAAAAACCAAAAATTTAAGACATATTTATGTATGAGAGTAAAGCGAGGAAATGTATACATTTATGTACAGCCCATGTACATTTAGAGGCATGCCTATTTGAAAGGAAAAACAATATTTTTATCAACAAAAAACACATTTTTTTTGTAATTTATCTGCAGTAACACACAACCGACACACGTTCTTGCATTTCCCACCTTTGTCAGTAAATTATGCACTCAGGCTTCATTAAGCTCATGCTGTACACTGCTGCTTTGTACTCACAATACCTCCCAGAGGTTAATCCCCTGGAATACAGTGTTAGCCTGCCCTACCTGAGAAATATCAGGTTGGAGAGCAGCCCAAATAACAATAACCTTGGGCCTTAGTGTTGAATAACTCAAAAAATCCATCCTTCTTCCCTTTTCTGTCCTCTCTGGAGGCAAGCTTATCTAAATAGAATTGATTGGTCCGAGCGATCATTCATCATACCGAGCCAAAGCAGACGTTTAAGGAGAGAGGGAAGGAGGATTTTACCGATAGGATATTTTCAGGCCCTCTGTCATCGAGGTAAACTAAACAAATTGATTAGGTTAAAAGGACACACACTGCATGTGTGCGTGAGGGAAAGAAATATATAAATATAGACTTATATCAGAGGTTGATTAGCTTAAAGGACACATTTATACCAACCTGTGTGTATTTTGAGTGTGTTTACATGTATTTAGCAGACTGGAGTGTGTGTGTGTGTGTGTGTGTGTGTGTGTGTGTGTGTGTTTGTCTTTCTGATTATCAGGGAATCAATGAATAGAAGTCATGTATTTGTCATTTTACAACAGAGGGTTGCACAATGAAAAGTCATGCTACATGTTACATAAATGAATGAAGCCGGTGAATGCAGTAAATTTAGGTGTCTTGAATTTAAATTGCTCGTAAAATCAGGTCAGAAGAAAATTCATGTCACTAATTGCATTTTATTTCCAATCAGCCTGAAGGAACAAGTGAGGAAAAAAACCCAAGGACAGTAGAGGATGAATTAGATGGCACAATGAGAGAAGTGCTTGTCATATCTGTTCATTAGACGAGGGGACTTGATGCAGATGCTGCAACTATGATTAGCTCTGCTGACTGTGTGTTTGTGTGTGTGTCTGTCTGAGTGTCTATGTATTACTCATGTTGTTTGGACATGTATCTGTTAACAGTGACATTGTGGGGACTTGCCTTCCTTTTGGGGACAAAATGCTAGTCCCCATAACGTAAATCTTTTTCATTTTAGGATGTAGACTTGGTTTAAGGTTAGTAGTAGGGTTAAGTAATAGTTAGGTGGTTAGGGTAAGTCTCCAGAAAATGAATGTAAGTCAACTTAATGTCCCACAAAGTGATGGAAACACAACTGTGTGTGTTTTATTTTCATGATTCACTGGCATGATCCCAAACATGGTGTTAGCCTTGAGCTGGATTGTACAATGAAGGACAAATTCTCCAAACTTTTTTCACTGGCTAGAGGAGATTTGTTTTGACATGCAGTTGGCATTCCACTTCACCCCAAAGTTGTTGGTGGTTGAGTTCAAGTGTATACAGACCAACATTGCCACATTGCCACAATATGGCAATGTTGGTCTGTTGGTTGATCCACCATTTTGGTGTAGACGGAAATATCTCAATAACTATTTGTTGATTCATTCCATTCCCATCAGCCTCAGCTGTACTTTGTGTTCGGTGCTAATTAGCACATGTTTATATGCTAAAACACTGACAATGGTGAACATTATACATGCTAAATATCAGCATCATAGCATTGTCAGTGAGAGTTAGCATTCTGACATTAGCTTTTAGCCCAAAGAACCAGTGTTCTTAAGTACATCCCCACAAAGCTGTTACCATGGTTGCAGACTCTTGTTCATTGTCTCTTCTCCATCTCTTTTAATTACTCCCTAATGAAAAACACATTGTAAAGATTTGAGAAGTGCTGTATAAATAAAGTTTACACACTCACGTATTTGGTTTTACATTAAGATAACTTCAACTGTACTGTAGTATTTCCATTCAATCAAAGCAACTTATTTACAGCACATCTAGGTTTCAAACTTATAAGTCCTTATTTTCAGATAACCTCCAACAAAACCTTGCACCCAAGAACGGTCCAGGTGAGGTCGGACAGCATGTGTGCCGACAAAGGGATGGGGGCACTGTGGCTGACCTGATTCTCCGTAGGGTCTCACTGCTACAACTGGCCCCGCTGTCAGGCACTAATGGGAAATAATGGCTGCAGAAGCATCACAGCAGCGAGCTGGGCTCACTGGGGACTGGGGTGAAGGTATTGGGGTCACATCTTCTGATGGCTCCTTGCATTCTTAGACAGATACATACTGCACAGAGAGGAAACATCTGGAGGCAAGTTTGAAAGTAGCGAGCGATGATGTAGGCCAAATGAGGTCGTATGGAAAGGTTGTGAATAGGAATAAGTCAGTAGGGCTTTGTGTGTGTCCATGAAACTTCTGGGTAGGTCTCAGTGTTTGTTTCCCAACCATTCTTCCTTCATCAATGTAAAACCTCATCAGGTCAAGGACAGAGGAGAATTTGGTAATGATTTATGAGTCCATCATTTCCCATTCATTTTGTATGATGTTTTGTGGAAGGAGGTAATTTGGTTCTAAGTAATAACATTTCTTGAAAAAAAAGCTTAATTTAAACCCAAGTAAGTTATTCATCTATTATTCATTTATTATTAGAAACTTTTTACATATATGCTGTATTGTGTGCTAACTCGAGGTTAAATAGCAGTTATTTAGAATTTATCAGTTGAAAGTGTACCAATTGAACAGTATCTATTTTCTCTATAATTAATACAATGTGCTGTCTAATGCACATCTGGTAGACAGGTGCATAGCATGAATGAATCCATGCAAGAAGAAATAATTCCCACACACAGTCAGTATTACTTTGATTAGAAATACTGGAGTGTGGGAACTCAGCATGTCCTTTTTTTATTACCAATCATAATTACATAGTTCTTTTTTAAGATCATTTCTGGGCTTTTATTACCTTTATTAGATAGGAGCAGCTAAAGATAAACAGGAAATGGGGAAAAAGAGATGGGATGACATGCAGCAAAGGGCCACAGGTTGGAATTGAACCTGGGCCACTGCGGTAAGGACTCAGTCTTTGCAGAGGGCGCTAACAGAGTGCCCCATAATTATATAGTTCTTCCCAGAAAGCTTTCCGGAAATGATTGCTAAATGGACATATAAAATGAAGAGTTACTGAGAATGAAGTTAAGAAAAGAAAACAAACATCGCTCTTGCATCAGCTGCTTAGCAATAACATTCAATGCGAAATAAACAGATTTTTTTAAAGGGTTCAATTCTTTTCACCATGATTGCATGTGAAAAACTGAATCTTCACAGTTTGTAGTAAATAGAGTTTAAACTGTATTTTAACTGTTTTATGTAACAGAAAGTCAAGACAAAGTGTGGAGAAAATACAAATGAACTTTTACAATGCTCTGCATATGGTATAATCAGAATATAAAACGTTTTTTTATGTATATTAAACAAAAAAGTAATGAGCCCTAATTATTGTCAAACCAAATTATTAATGTTAGTTAGTTGGGAACACTCACATTGTGGATATTTGAGTTCAGGTAAGGCATACCTTTTATTTTCTGTTCAGTCCTGTTCTTCCTTTGTTGTGGGAAATAGAAAAGCCAACTATCACTATCACAAGTTTCTTATCATGCATGCTGCAAGGTCAATTACAGGTCAATTCTCATGCATACATTTTGATCAAAGATGTACATTTTAAACCCACTCACAGCATGACTCACTTCCACCTCTAAAACACAGTGATAAAGCCTGAAGGTGTTTGGTCAAAGTTACTTTTAAAACTTTTAGGTATTATTAATGACCCCATTCTTTTTTTTCTTCAAAATGGCCTCCACTCAGGAGTCCAGGTTATTCTTTGCACTGAGAGAAATTTGAGTCCCAAAGGAGCGAAAAGAGCCTGTTTCAGGTTATAATTTGTTGCATTATGTGAGTCTTACTCAGACCATAGTTAAGTGCCTTGAATTAAAGCTCTGAGCTGTGTAGAAATTGCCACAGAGGTCTTTTCATTTCTATTATCATTCTTCAAACCAACAAAGGCAATCATTATGATTTCTGTGACATCTGTCCTCTGCTCCAACCTGCAATTTAAACGGTTCCAACTGACTCACTATACATGCCATGTGGCTATTTCCACATAAATCATTAATTCAGCCAAGGACCACTGAGCACACATGACCTTATATTGTGTTCCTTGCTTCATTTTCAGCTATACAGCTCTGGGTATGAAGAGGTAAAACCTACAGGTTTCACACCCTGCTCACCTCCCGCCTCGCTACATCATAGGCAGTCAATAGTAGTAAAAGCCAGCCAGCTCTACCAGGTGAGCTATCCAGGTACCCCAATATCTACTTTTTTACTTTGTTTTCATTCAACATAATTCCTTTGGCTCAGACAAATTTTGTGATGATTACCTCAACCCTCAGAAAAAAAATAGATTTTCTCAGCAATTCAAGGCTTACAAAAGCCCTTTTCTCTAATATTCAATTTACACTTTTATATTCCCATATAATTTCTC